TTTGTGTCAGGCCCTGCGAGCCAGCCGTAAAAAAAGCATTGCAACGGAAAATCAGCAACAGACGAATATGAACCGAGACCAACGGCAACGACCCCAGTGACGAAATAGGACTTGCGATTGGAAACTCGGCACGTGGAACTGTCGATCTCTCAATTTCATCGGGAGCACCCAATCGCCAATCTACTGAAGGACTGCGGATTCGGCATCGTAGCTCTGCAGAAAGTGTGTTGGACATGATCCATGGCGTGAACGCTTAGAGGTAATCATACCATCTACCAGAGTTGCGGCAACACACGCGAGCTGGGCACAGCTTTCATCGTGATGGGCGAAATGCAGAAGCGCGTGATCGGTTGGTGGCCGATCGACGAAAGAATGTGCAGGTTGAGGATCAAGGGCCGATTCTTCAACTTTAGCATAATCAACGTGCACAGCCCTCACTCCGGAAGCACTGATGATGACAAGGACGCATTTTAAGCGCAGATCGACCGCGAGTACAATCGCTGCCCAAGCCACGACGTCAAGATCATAATAGGAGACCTAAACGCTCAGGTAGGCTAGGAGGAGGAATTCAGACCGACGAATGGAAAGTTTAGCGCCCACCAGCTGACGAACAGGAACGGCCTACGACTCATTGATTTCGCCGCCTCCAAGAACATGGCCATACGTAGCACCTTCTTCAAACACAGCCTCCCCTATCGTTACACCTGGAGATCATCACAGCAGACGGAATCGCAAATCGACCACGTTCTGATTGATGGACGGCAGTTCTCCGACATTATCGACGGCAGGACCTATCGTGGCGCTAACATCGACTCTGACCACTACCTGGTGATGGTCAAACACGGAAGTGCTACCAAGAAACACGTAAGTGCTACCAGAAGCTCAACGCATCCCACAACGGCTTCGTGTCGCGAGCCGAAATGTGCAAGGATAAGGACGGGAGCCTCACTGACAGACGTGAGGTGATTGAAAGGTGGAAGCAGCACTTCGATGCGCACCTGAATGGCGAGGAGAACGTAGGCACGGGAGACCAGCGCAATGGAGGAAACGACTACGTTAGTGCAGCAGAGGACGGAACTGACCCAACTTCCACGCTGAGGGAAGTTAAGGATGCCATTCAGCAGCTCAAAAACAACAAAGCAGCTGGTAAGGATGGTATCGCCAACAATCAATACGAAACTAACGATTTAAAATTGGCTCACTACTTGACTAGCCTATTGGTCCCAAGCAAACAATTAACGTACCCCATTCTAGTCGAAATTCTAGTACTACGAAATTCTAGTAATACAATGTTTGTTTTGATTCGCTATGAAAGTTTGACAGATAAATTGAAGGGTTATTGGTTTTTCCTATGTTTCGAGGGGTGAATCGATTAGCTTGGGACCGAAGAGAGTACCAGAGCTGAGCCAAAAAGTTGAGCACGTTATTTCGGGACCTTCTAGTCTAGGGTAATCATTCGAATCTCGCCGGAGACTGCGACAAGGTGACAGACTCTCATGCCTGCTCTTCAACATCGCTCTAGAAGGTGTAATGCGACGATCCGGGCTCAACAGCCGGGGTACGATTTTCACGAAATCCGGTCAATTTGTGTGCTTTGCGGACGACATGAACATTATCGCAAGAACATTTGGAACGGTGGCAGAACTATTCACCCGCCTGAAACACGATTGCTGCTTTGTTTGCTGATTGGTCGGACTGGTGGTGAGTGCGTTAAAAACAAAGTACATGCTAGTAGGCGGAACCGAACATAACAGGATTCGTCTAGGAAGTAATGTCACGATAGACGGGGATACTTTCGAGGTAGTGGAGGAATTCGTTTACCGTGGGTCCTTACTGACGGCTGACAACAATGTTAGTCGTGAAATACGAAGGCGCATCATCAGTGGAAGTCGTGCCTACTACGGGCTTCAGAAGAAACTACGGTCAAAAAAGATTCACCCCCGCACCAAATGTACCATGTACAGAACGCTAATAAGACCGGTGGTCCTCTATGGACACGAGACATGGACTATGCTGGAGGAGGACCTGCAAGCACTCGGAGTTTTCGAGCGACGTGTGCTAAGGACGATCTTCGGCGGTGTGCAGGAGAACGGTGAGTGGCGGCGAAGAATGAACCACGAGCTCGCTGCACTCTACGGCGAACCCAGCATCCAGAAGGTGGCCAAAGCCGGAAGGATGCGGTGGGCAGGGCATGTTGCAAGAATGCCGGACAACAACCCTGCAAAGTTGGTGTTCGCTACTGATCCGGTTGGCACAAGAAGGCGTGGAGCGCAGAGAGCACGATGGGCGGACCAGGTATAGCGCGATCTAGCGAGCATTGGGCATGACCGAGGATGGAGAACGGCAGCCGCAAACCGAGTATTGCGGCGTACTATTGTTGATTATGTCTTATCTTACATGTGATGTTGTACAAATAAATGTATGTATGTTGATTTGTTTTCCGTACTGAGTACCAATGCCAGCGAGGCAGCACCCACACCTGGACCCTACCTATCGACCCATCAACTCATGGACCGGGGACCAACGGCTTTACTTCCCTCAGAAAATCCCGGCGGCACCGACTGGGATTGAACCCAGGCTTTTTGGAGTGAGAGGCAATCAGAATGGTTAGGTTGAGTATCAGAAACACAATGTTAAAAATATTTGTTCAAGGTCAGGAAGTATTTGTAGCTCTCCATCTAAATGAATATTTCTATAATGTTCCCTAGATTTGATTACAGATTGATCAAGTACCATTCTAAACATTCTCACTAGATTGCTGGTTCAGCAGAATGAAGATCCGCATCTGATAATAAATTTCAACAATAGTCGTTTGATTCCTTTTTCAATACTTCTGGTGGAAAAAATGCATTCTGAAGTTACTGATCTTTTCAATAGCAACCCTAGATCCAAAGATGAATACTAAGATGAAACTGTCGGGAGAAAAACTTTCTATTTTAGAGTCCTCTTTCACGGTCCCTTTCATCCAATGAATACCCCCCGTATTTAAGGTAATTTTGTGGTTTTGCTGCCCCCTCGGTAGAGATGAAATTTTGCGCTCATTTTGATCAAAACAATCACACCAAAATCAGAGATGTCCCATTTTTAATTACTCGATTAACAACTAATCGATTTTTTTTTTTGTTCGCTGTGCTGCCATTTTTCCACCAATGAGAGTGTTAATGCTTATATCGGCATGATATAAATAACCGATTACAAATATTTTACTTTTCGGTTCGTTAATCGATTAATCGATTATTCGAATGAAAATCGGCCACCACTAGATGAATGTGAAACGTCATTTCAAATATTAGGACCATACATAAATAATGATACAATTTGAAAGGGACCGGGGCTAATCACAAATTACATCCCCACGGTAACTGAAATAAACACGAGTGTTCACCGGTTGCTAGATCTGGGGGGAGCCAGGTACCAACCGCCCCTCGTTATTTACATCAATGCTAATGACTTTCGGCCTAATGACCCTCCATAATTTTCCCCATTGGTTGTAATCCTTTTTTATTTTCTTGAAATATACTCCTTTAAAGCATTCTGCCGTCTTTTTGCAGATGTGAACCGCTGTGCGATATGTTTCATATCGGTAATTATTAACATGAGCTAGTGGGTGTTAGAATACGCTTTACATGCTCATAATTAAATGGATCATGACATTTCATACTTAAAAGTTATGTGTAGTCAGTCAATCTAAACTAGCAGTAGTGAATTATTTGTTCTATGTTGGTGGGGTTAGAACAGTTTTACGATGAGGACTCGTTCACTAATTATTCTCCATGATTGATCCTTTAATCCACAGCAAATGACATACACAATTCATGAGCGGTGCTTGATGATGATGACATAGAACATTGTGTTATCATGTATATTTTGATCAATTTGGACATAAGCATACGCATATTTACTGGTTTGATTGAAGTACTAGATAACGGTGTTTTCGATGGTTCTTGTCTGAAGGTGTGTATTTGCGTTACATGAAATGATTTGCAATTTTGTATGGAATGATATTGTCCCCTGATAGCCTTTTTCCTGAGCATACCACGCATTATACGAATGCTAAAATGGGAGTGCTCAAAGAACAAATAGTAGAGGGCAGGCTTAAGGACAAGATTGTTAGAATCCGCAAATAGCCGTTATGATGGATGATTTTACTAGGCAAATCAAGCCATGACAACGGCCATTTGTGTAAAGCTTCAGTTTTGACGTATTTGCAAAATAAGAAAATATAGTAGAAGTTGACGAATGGAACCGGACGTATCAATAATGATTTTGATTATGTTGAAGTTGAGTGAACACATAAAGTGTGTCCCACATCAAATTGCATCCCGAAAAAAACGCTGTAGAAAGTTGCTTAGTTGACCTTTCATTTTCATTCTTTCAGGCAATAAAATATAATGTATTAGTAAGCTTTTGGCATATTTATTTCATTCACCACATTTACCTTACGCTTAACTCCACTCATTAGGTTCTGTACAACATTTAGCTGCAGCTACGGAAACCCACTTTTTCTTCATGTCTGCCTCAGATTTGACCTCCTTGGGATGCTTCCGTAGTGCCTGCTTCATAATAGCCCAGTATTATTCGATGAGCCTTAGTTCCGGTGCGTTGGGGGGGGGGGGGGGGTGTTCATGTCCTTGGGTACGAAAGTGACCCCGTTGGCTTTGTACCACTCCAGGACAACATTTGAATAGTGGCACGAAGCTAGATCCAGCCAGAAGATCTTAGGGCCCTCGTGTTGCTTCAACAGAGGAAACAGACGCTTCTGTAGACACTCCTTGAGGTAGAACTCCCCGTTTACAGTCCCGGTCAGTCACGAACGGCGCACTCCGTTTGCCACATGAGCAGATCGCTTGCCAAATTATTTATTTCTTGGCAAACTTTGAAAGTTTCTGCTTGCTAACTTCCTCCGGAACATCAAGCGGTAAAAAAAAGTTGCCCCGGAAGCTGCCGGAAGTCCGCCTTGACGTAAGTCTCATCATCCATGATGAGACAATGAGGCTTCGTCAGCATTTGGGTGACTTTCCCACCGTATTTTGACGTTCGTCACAATTTGGAGCCTTCTGCACTTTGTACGTATGCAGTCCCTCCCGATCCTTGGCTCTCTGAACGAAAGACTTGGACAGATTCAACTTTTTGGCCATATCCCTGACCGAAGCATTGGGATTCCGCTTAAACGCTTTCACGCACGCTTGTGATCCTGATCATCAATTGAACATCCATTCTGACCGCATTATTTCTTCTTCCGTTCGATGCTCAGAATTTCGTAGTAACGTTTAATCACACGACTCACCGTTGACTACACGATTCCGAGTTATTTACCAATGACCCGATGAGAGAGTTGAGGATTTTCCAGGTGCTTGGGCAAAATAAATTCGGGACATTGCTTTTCGGGTGACGCCATTTTTTTCCAACTTTCGAAAAACTGACAACGATAAAAATACAGTGTAAACAATACACTCTAAACTACTTCTACCCAAATTTTCACGAGAAAAAACTCAATGGGTAATTTTCTACAGCGTTTTATCCGTCATGCAATTTGATGTGGGACACCCTTTAATTGAATTATAACTATCCGAACACATACACTTGGTAATATTCAGTTATGTTCCTTTTCAAGTTCATTCAATATTTGCATTACCAAACGATAGCCATATGCAGTGTTCGAAAAATCATTCTCAAATCGCATTCATGAAGGCTTTCTGAGAGAATAAACTCACGTACGAATATGGCAAGCAAAACTTATGCTTGAGATTCTCATATACACGGACTCACAGTCACAAGGCCGAAAAATCATTCCAGCTTAAAACTTAGAGCAACCGCTTAAATGTCAATTAATAGCATGCTTATGGATGTTGTGCTAGTTTTCCATCCTCTGATGCAAAAACAATAGTTATAACAATGAATAGCGTCAACATATTAAGCAATGAATTTTTGATCTTGAAAATTCAGCCGTGATTTTCCGCTGTTAAATTTTGCAAGGCAAAACTCATAGGCGCATAAACTCACACTGAGTTTTTCCGAACACTGGCCATATGTATGCATTTTGGACGTATTAAAACATCACTTTAAAATGTTCACTCTGGGTTGGGGTTCATGTCTTCAAACACATAATTTGTTTTGGTAATGGCCGCAAATACTTCCTGGGATTTCTTGAGTTACTTCCAACTTTTCAATAATGTTTGATACGTTTCCGTTATCGTCTCAAAGTTTCGTTCCGTAATGATGTTATCGTCTACCTTACAAAGTGATATTGAACGGCAGACTTGAAAGCCCATAACCAGGGTTGCTTCGACTCATTTGCTATAAAAAATGTTCTATGGTGTTATGAAATCATTAGATGTTATAATTAGAACAAATACTTGTGAGTTGCAATAAAATGTAGTAAAGTATTTGTTTAACACATACAGTGCATCGCAACATTGAGCCTACACCCTAGTGGAACATTTTTTGAAACATTGTGAATAGATGTATATATTTTTTTTAAATCTTGGCTGGTGGTTAAACAGATGTTTATTGATTTATCGCTTTAGTTTTGAACTTTATAGGAAGAACCTTTTTTTCCTTGATTTGTTTTCCGTGCTTAGCACCAATGCTACCGATGCCAGGGAGGCAGCTCCTACACCTGACAGAAGACGTGATCAGAGATGTTATGTCTCAAAACATCCCGGCGCCGCTGACTGGAATCGAACCCAGACCTGCTGGGTGAGAGGTTATCAGGCTTACCACTACACCACTGGTGCCACTGTTGGAAGAATCTGTATGAATTTTGATTTATTTTAGTTAAACGCTCGATTTACAACTTTTCACCTAGTTGAAGAATTTTAGTAAAATTAGTGGAATATGATCTTTATTATGACTAAAAATGAGCAAAATAAAAATAAATTTATTTAATTATATTTCAAGATATTTTGGTTTTCAAGGAAAGGCGTTTTTCTTAACTAGCTCTTACATTTAATAAACGCAACCAAATCAGCCCAACACTGTACCAATAATTGATAAATTCATGATGATTCAGCAGCCAGCAGTTCAGAAACGTATATTTTTAAATTGTGCTTTTATAGCTGGTTTTCTAAAATTTAAGGACATCTGTACGCTCAATTTTGAGATACACTGTAAATCCTAGTTGATGATGCTAAGCGTCAAATAATAAATAACAGACTTAAAGGGGTAATTTTTTATACGATGGATGAAGAGCAGGTAAATCGTTTACTTCACGCATAAGTAATGCAAACAAAAATAGTTGAAGAACATAAAACCTGTCAATATTTCTTTCAGAGCGCCACAATTCAGAACCTCACGCATCTTAAAATCACTTATAGGGCGTCCCAGCAAGTATAAGCACACTTTCAATTCACCGTCTTTTCTACCTCGATGAAGTTTATCAGCTGTTCATCGATGGGTATTGATGTTTTTTTATTTACAAAAGCGCAAACAAATCGTGCAGAACTGGTGCATTATTCTCATTCTATCAGTAAGGAAGTTGGTGAAGATGGAGGAAGTAATAGCGAATTTGTTTATTATTCAGTTCCAACCTGGATCCGGTCTGCTTAGTTTCTGATGCCTCAGGATGAGGTTCACACTAGCCGGCGCCGGTGGTGTAGTGATAAGCGTGACTGCTTTCTCGTCCCAATTGGTCTGGGTTAAATCCGAGCTGAGGTCTGTGGGATTTTTCTGAGGCATAAAAATCTCTGGTCACGTCTTCCTTCGAAAGGGAAGTAAAGCTGTTGGTCCCGGCCCATGTGTTGTTGAATGGGTGTGATATCCTACGCAGGTGTGGAAGTTGCCTTCCTGTACATTCAATTGCCGTCAATGGATGCTTTCGTTAATAAGAAAAGTGCCTCTGTTCGAGATTTGGCCAAAAAACTGAGAACATCGAAGAGTAACGTCCAACGTGTGTTACCGTTTTGATTCCTGTACGCTACTGATTCACTTCGAGCAAGATATATCAGGAGATAGCGAGAGCGAGGAATAGGGTATATGTGTAATCATTATGAATTCAAACCCGAGAAACCCCACCTGGTGTAGAATCCCATCATTCCTGGCCAGCACTACATACACCCACACTACAGACACCGATACCGTGACTAATAAAATAGTTGAAACTTCAAAAAAGGTGTTTTTGTGCTACGAATCAGTATCGACAAGCCAGGAGCCGACCTTGAAGCTCTAGCGTCTCGAGCTAGCCAACAAAAGAGGCGAGTGTAGCCCACCCCAGACGATCTCCGTGGCTAGACCAGAGGTTAGGCGAATCCCTTAAACTAGCCCATCTGGCTAGCCAATAAACACGTGCCAAGGCAAGGAACGGGTTGAAAACGTTCAAGGACCTGAAGAAGCCGAAATGGAGTCAGAAACAAGCATCTGTCAGAAACAAGCATCCGTCAAACCGAGGGCTCAAAAGCTATATGCTAAGCTAAACCTACTGTGTGGAAGATTGGCGTGTGTTATCATGGACGATGAAACATACAATCCTCTGGCAAGTTCATTGGTTCTTGAAGCTGCCATCAGTGATAACGGTGGCGTTTTTTTTTTCTTGATTTGTTTTTCCGTCGATCTTGTTTTCCGTCCTGAGCACCAATGCTACCGACGCCAGGAAGGCAGCTTCCACACCTGGACCCTACCTATCGACCCATCAACTCATAAACCGGGGACCAACGGTAATCACGCTTACCACTACACCACCGGCGCTGCTATAGCGGTGGCGTTGATGTTGGAATGATTTTAAACAGGACGGGATTTCAATATCATTTTGATTACTTGGACTGGTTCAACTCCAAGTAATTTTGCCAGTTCATCTTTCGTCTGATCCAGGGATTCATCATTGGCCAGACCTTTCATGACAACCTTGAACACACGTTCAGTTTTGGTGTCGTAAGTAAAATATTGGTGCTGCTTCTCAGTAAGATACTTGAGAAGACATTTGAATCCTTTCAAGGTTTTAGCCAATACACGGCATTCACCCCGGAGGCCAATTCACAATGAAAACTTGGATTTCACGAAGTTCAAAAGTTCCATGCGAAGAGCATGGAAATCGGAAGTGGCTACCACAATAGAGGGATTATTTTCCTTCATGACATTAAGCCGGGAAAGTTTACTAGAATATTTACTGGATGATGGATCATTCTCATCATTCGTGAGCAAATCAAATTTGATTGCTCAAATTAATTTCATCAGAAAGGGGATCAAGAGATCGCCCTTTTCATTTGTGCTTAGGCGCTATGGCAGTAAAACTTTTATCCAAATCGGCTTCTAAGCAGATTACTATAAGAATCTGAAGGATCGAAGAGGAATTTTCCAAATCGATATCCAAGCAGGATTACCTCGGGTAGCGTCCAAACAAGGATCGAAGAGGAATAACAGTCGAACAAGGAAGAAAATTTACACTTAAAAGTGCTGTTCAAATGTGTTTTAAATTTAGGTAAAAATTTCATAAGCTAAAAGCAAAAAGATCCGTACGACAAGAAAGCACGATGCGGACTGAACTTGAAGCCTTGATACGATAGTTCAGCTGGTTATATTTTGTCATCATGATATCCATCGATATAAGGATGGCAATTTTGGATGGACCTGTTGCATTATTTTTTGAAAAGATTTTTCCCATGACCAACGCCTGGTGTGCACATTTTTTATACTTATTTAACTTTTGTACAAAGGCGTTTCTTTTAATGTAAAGGGTGATACGGTCAAAATTTGGTCAAGGGAAAACGCGTGTAAATCGGTGAAATCGTTTATTTAAAAAATCAAATTAAAGTTTTCAAGTTCAATTAGTATAAAATTCAGGAAAAATATTCAGTTATGCTTCCGCTTTTCCAAATCCGAATTGCCGGGCCTTACGCTTGACCCCTGCCATCAGATTTTGTACAGCCACCTTGTCCACCTTCTTCGCCGCAGAAAGCCAGTTTGCCTTGAACTGCTGCTCGCCCTTAGCAGTTTTTTTGGTCTTCTGTAGGTTCCGCTTGACAATAGCCCAGTATTTCTCAATTGGGCGGAGCTCTGGCGTGTTGGGAGGGTTCTTGTCCTTGGGAACCACCTGCACGTTGTTGGCGGCGTACCACTCCATGGCCTTTTTACCGTAATGGCAAGATGCCAAATCCGGCCAAAACAGTACGGAACAACCGTGTTTCTTCAGGAAAGGCAGCAGACGTTTATTCAAACACTCTTTCACGTAAATTTCTTGGTTGACAGTCCCGGAAGCTATGAAAATGCTGCTTTTCAAGCCACAGGTACAGATGGCTTGCCAAACCAGATATTTCTTTGCGAACTTTGACAGTTTCATGTGCTTGAAAACATCTGCTACCTTTCCCCTTCCTTTTGCCGTATAAAACTCCTGTCCCGGAAGCTGCTTGTAGTCGGCTTTGACGTAGGTTTCGTCGTCCATTACCACGCAGTCAAACTTCGTCAGCATCGTCGTGTACAGCCTCCGGGATCGCGCTTTGGCCGTCGTATTTTGTTTATCATCGTGATTTGGAGTCACTACCTTCTTGTAAGTCGATAGTCCGGCTCGTTTTTTGGCTCGATGCACGGTTGTAGACGATACACCCAGCTTATTTGCGGCATCTCGGAGAGAGAGGTTAGGGTTTCGCTTGAAACTACCGGCAACTCTCTTTGTCGTCTCAGCGGCTTCCGGTTTTCGATTTCCCCCCGATCCAGACTTCCTGGCTGTCGACAAACGTTCCCCAAACACTTTAATTACATTTGTAACGGTTGATTTGGCAACTTTTAGCGATTTTGCCAACTTTGCGTGCGAGTAGCTCGGATTTTCGCGATGCGCGAGCAAAATTTTGATACGCTGCTCTTCTTGCTTGGACGGCATTTTGACAACTGAAGAGTGAATTCCAAAATCAAAATAGGAGCAACATTCTACACACACACACCTTCAAAATGAGGGGTGTTCAGGTTTTTTAAATGCAAAATTGAAAGAAATACGTCAAGTTGATATTGCCCAAATTTTGACCGTATCACCCTTTATGTATATGTATGTAAGTAGCCATCATCCTAGCTTGGGTCTTACCCTGCATGCGGCTCCACTCAACAGCAAGATCAAATTTCGTCATCATTCTGAATTCAACATACTACTGTATGAAGGGCCAAAAGGGGTCGGACGGGCCCGTAAGCAGAGACACTTCCGCGAAACCCGTGGGAATAAGAGAATCTCCTTCCAATAATATGATCCAACAAAACGAATAACGAAATTCGCAATATATTTTAAGCTTTCCACGGGATGGTTTGTTTAAGAAGAGCGCGTCAAATTCATTGCAACTGTTGAAGTGAAATGTAACTATCTTAAATGACAGTACACATTCCCTCCTAGACTCTGGTTGGCACTCCACTCCATTGTCCAGTTACAACTTCCATGATGCCCTGATGCTCCCTTCCGTCTTAGCATTTTTGTAATTTACAGTATACATTTAAATATAATCATGGAAAAATAATATAGTAAATAAAATATATAGTGAAATTTAAAATCTATATACAGCTATCTCCCGAAGAACGCGTTACCCACTGAGTTCTACCCACGGCTTTTTCTCGGTGGGTTTTCAACCAAGCGCTCCGATTTTCTGCGAGAGACTAGTTCTCCATTGGCACTACTCACATGCAAAAAATCAGACCGACTGGTTGAAACCCCGCCGAGAAAAGGCGGTGGGTGCAACTCAGTGGGTAACGCGTTCTTCGGGGGATAGCTGTATCTAAAAATGTATTTCTGTCTGTCTGTCTATCTGACCCTTATAGACTCGGCAACTACAGAATCGATCGACGTGAAAATTTGTATGCAGGGGTTTTTGGGGCCTGGAAAGGTTCTTGTGATGGATCGAGACCACTTCCTCCTCTGTAAGGGGGGCTCCCATACAAGTAAATCAGATAAATATAGCATTTTTTTAATCGGTGCATAAACTCCAGCTAATATTGAATCTCGAGCAAAGCCGGGTACACTCAGCTAGTATATCTATAAAATAATGTAAGAGGTTGCATCCAATACTCAACTCGGGGACCACTCCAGTATATTGCCAGTGTACCCCGAAAATTGGTGCTGGTGGTTCTGTCAAACTCACAAATTTCAGAAGTGTTATCTCAATAGAGCGAATTCGGAAATGATGTACAGTAAATAAAATTAAAGTTTAAAATGCATCTTATTGTCACACGCCCACCAAACCGGACACGCGACGTCCGACGTCAAAATTAATATTAGCGACATAGAAACTCCATTGATCCAAGGGACTGATATCGGTTTGATTCTCAGTAGTATGCACAATACATAATCAGTTTACAGTAACATCATCTCCGAATTCGCCCTCTTGAGATAACATTTCTGAAATTTGTGAGTTTGACAGAACCACCAGCACCAATTTTCGGGGTACACTGGCAATATACTGGAGTTGTCAAGTTGCCTCCGAGTTGATTATAACACACCATCAACTGAAAATGCTTTCGGCAACGTAGGGCTGTAGGTAGTGATGCAACGTCGTTAGAACTATTCCACAGCCACAAACAGTATTTGAGCAAAGTCAAGCGCACACTTTTTGACTGTAGATTTGAAGACATACTTCAAATCTCCGCGTATATCGTCCGGGTAAGGCAAAGAGTATGCATTTGGCTTGCACTGTTGCATTAATGGCCCTTCGCTCAATTTCAACTTCTATTCTATTTTCATACTGCCGTACTCTAACGGAACTATCTAGCTACTCTCTTCTAATACCATTATCTAGCTAATAAATTATCGCAATAAAGCTTCATGTTAGTTAGCATTTCCAACTAACTCTGAAAATCACCATCAAATGTTCTGAAAGTCCTTACAATAAATCATCTACTAGAAATAAATATGTAAAAAGTTAATTTAATAAAACCGATTTTATAGGGGTATGATACTTGTAACAAACCAGTTTGAAACGTGCAACATTAGACAATTGATGTCTTCAGCAAAGTAGCTTCAGATAAATTGTTATACATATTTGTTCAGCATTGTGCCGATCTGTTACTAAAAAGTGAATATTTTGAACTTCCAAACCACCCTTATTTAATTCACGTCGAACGACAGGCGAAGAAAAAAATGGAAAAGTCTCTCGAAGACACTATTTACCTATTCAAAACATATATTGAAAATAGGGTGGTGCGTATGGTTATTGAGTTTAAAATATCATCTTTTTAGTTCTTTAAGATAGTAATTATTAACAAAGTTGCAAAACAATTTATGTTAAACTAGCTTGCTGATTTCTGGCAAATGATGCAAATTTGACAAATTTGATGGCGCACATTTTTCTGAAGCAACTAAGCAGCTACCTCTTTTATTCGGAAAGTTATTATCAATTACGTCCTTTTCAAAAGTTAATTAACTGTCAGAACCCCATGAGTGCAAAGTGCGTGGCAATACTTTGAACAAGTATCCTTCACGGCAACGGGACAGGCGAGCTGTAAAACATTATCGTCATGTATTTTGCACCCTTGATGTAATGACAGTTGAATGAGTTAAACAAAAACGACTCCCCTCTCCAATTTTTTAATACTTATTACACGTCATGTCATAAACTATAATCACAAACACAACACATAAATCGTTTATATGTTTCAAACAGAAAGAGATCGCAACTAAGTTGCTCCAGCAAATAACATTTGCAAAATTAAAATCAAAGTATAAAAAGTTATTGTAAAAAAAAAAACTGATTCTTATTCGATCATCCTAAGTAACCTTCTTAAAACCAGTACAAGACGGTAGCCATTAGAGACAGAAAATTTGTAATCAGAGCAAAGTTGCTACAAATTAATTGTTCTACAACTTTGTAGAACATCATGCTTTTCTATCTATATTTTGTACTTTATAACCACCCTAATTTCACTTGCTTCAAAAGATTGGTCAAACATAAATAACAACTTACTCGAAGACACCCTTAACCTAACATGCAACAGCGTAAACATGCAACACACGTTTTCTAAATACGGTTTGGGGACATTGTACACTATACAATGGTACGCATTTTCCAGCTGTTTATCTGCCTAACATAAAGCACATGTCAGCTCTATTCAGCCAAAAGACGGTTTATCGAGTTTACTGAGAACTGGGGTAAGCTGGTAATAGTAAAATAAATAAACATACCTCTCGTGCTGCCAAACTGCTTACGTAAACTATTTTCATTACACCAACGATGTGAACCAATCCTTGATAGAAGAAGAACGTCACAAGCTGCAACTTGCTGAACAATGAATTGACGGCACCATCGGTGAAAATCGCCTCCAAAATGTAGTACAAGTCGAAGACACATATCACGAACGAAATGGCTATCAGTGTCAACATTTGCACCTTGAAATACTCTTCAATACAATCGCAGGCGTCACAAATTTCGCTATGTATGCTGGCCACCCGATTGATAACGTCGGCCGTGCTACGCTGCATGCTGGGAAATACCGATGATATCCAGAATTTTTTTTGATTTTTTTCTACCTCAATTATATCTTTCTTGCCGCTGAAGAGTAGGATTCGCTTTTCAATTTTCTTGTCATGCAGAGATACGAGGATCTTGTTCAAAAGGTAGAAGCGATACTTGCTTTGATTGATCAAAGAAACGAACAAAATGGTGATCATTGATATCATCATAAACGGTAACAGGAAAGACATCCACACTGTACCGCATATAATCAAACCGGAACTGATCATAATTGAAAAACATGTAGCATTGTAGGTAACCTGGATCAAAAATTGTATTATCACCACCGCGCAGTTGCGAAGAAGACTGGTCTTATAACTGATTTGCACACCAATCTCTTCGAAGTGTCGGTCAGTTCCGGCTAAAGAGTTAAAAGCATCGATGAGGTTTTGCCGCTTAATGATGCTGTAGAAAAAGGTCATTAAAAGTGCTCCAATTCCAGTTGCAGCCTGTAGAATATCCCCTAGGTTGCTTATCTCGGAATTTACCAAATATCCAGTAATGCTCTCCTGTTTGGAGATTGAGATAACGTAGCACATGATGAATAATATGGTATGTAGAAAAGAGTTGAAAAACCCGAAGGTAGTACACTGCAAAACTACACCACGTCCATGTTTTACAAGTGTGAACGGAGTTAATCCACCAAAAAATGTTACTGTTATAATTGGACGCTGGGCTTCGAAGAAGTTTTTGGGATGGATGAGATCCCGAATCCAACCAATAATCGTCATTATAAAGCTAGAACTAGTTGGTTGATTGGTCGACTGCTACAGCAAGACTGGTGTCTGCAAGCGCGTTATTATTTGGTTAAATATGTAATCGTAGGTAAACGCAGCGGTATCCGAACAGTAATGATACTGCAAACAAGCACGGGGTAGAATAATTTACTTAAATCTAAACAATATCACATATATATGAATCACGTGAAAAAGCCTACATGTTCGTATCACTGCAAAGGATAAGCGTGTATGTCTATCGCCGCGCAGGCAGTGGCAGAACTGATTGCCCTGTAGCATAGCGAAAGGCGAAACAATTCGTAATCATGCAACTACCAACACGTGTCATCAAGCAGGGCAATTCGAGTTAAGCTGGACACCTGAAGGACTGTCATTGTTTAATCGTCTATAAATATAACATTTTGCTTATAATATCAATATTCTGAAATTCTGGGTCATCATTATATGGAAAAGCGCAAATGTGACCTCATTGAGCGAGAATAACCCTTTTTTGGTTCCACTTAGGGTCCCAAATAGCTAAGCAAAATTTGTGGACGATTGGTTGTAACCCGGCTTTCCGCATTGCGTTTGTATTTTGTATGGAAATTAGTATGAGAAAACCTACTTTTTTGCATTTTTATTCCTAGAGACCTCAATTTTGCTTTAATCATACAACTAACCATATACTAATATAGTTCAGTGCCTCACAACTTTGCCCAAGGAAGTACGGTACTAGAATGTATCTAATTTTTTTACTTGATTTATTTTCCTTTAATCTTGTTTTCCACAAGTTTGATGTTCCGGAGGAAGTAAGGAAGCAGAAACTTTCATAGTTTGCCAAGAAATATATGATTTTTTAAGCGATCTGCTCATGACGCATTTCGCGCCAAATCGAATCGAAGCTGGCAGCACCTTATCAGATTTCAATAAATTTTTCTGGATGTGTAGACTTTGACTAAATATGCCACTAGAAATTTATCTAGACTAACATTTGAGAAGGGCCAAACTTTTTCTGCCGATTTTTTTCAAAAAAATATTATGGAAAAATGACAACTCCAACAAAAATATGTTGTATGGATGACTTTTAGGAAATTGACCAAATTATCGAAAAAAAAAATACTGAAAAAAATTTCATTTGAGACCTACACTGAAAAAATCGATTTTTAAAAAAATGGTCATGTTTGATTTGGATGAAACTTTGCTTCAAGATAGTTAATTATGTTTACTACCATCCGTTCATACATCGCGAGATGGGCACTTTTAAGGAAAAAAAATTTTTTAACAAAAACTTTTTCATGTCTGAACTGATTTTTTTAAGGTACCATTTTTACACAAAACTAAACCAGTAAAATCATCTCAGAACCCAATGAAGCTCCATTTGTGATTCAATTTTGTCTAATCAGGGCTTATATCATTAGAAAATAATATAATTGATTATATTGTCTACTACTGAAATGTTGTGTAAGGGGCTATATCGTCAACGATGGTAGAAAAAATACATTCTATGGGATATAACCACGAAATTGATGAAACGATGAGCATTTGTGAGTCACGCCGTAGTGTGATATCTCATAATAGAAGTCCAGTTATGAAAAAGCGCCGATCGGTTGGAAATGAAGTAAATATCCAACCGTCAACTAGTGGGCATGAACAATCAACAGGATTTGCTTTTAATTTTTGGCCGAGGCAAATAAATTGTATGGCGTTGCTATAGCCACCCTAGTCAAGTAAAGGTTTTTGATCCTGCTGCAGTATGCTTCCATAGAAAACACCATTACATGCCCTACTTAGTGCGTCGTGCGTGATGACGATGATGACACGAACAATAGTGTGTATTTTCACTTACGGTTGGTGGCAGAAGAAATAAATAACAGAATGAATCATTGAGCTCTGAATGGCTTTATTGGTGTGATAAATAAAAACTAGGTAGTGACGTATAGGTAGTAAAGGTCATTATTTTAGGACACAAAGTGAATTCGCCAAAACTGTTGCAATAAATTGAAGGAAGCTCGATTAATTAACAAGGAATAGTGTTTTTTAGAACATAAACAATCATTGCTGATTTGTTATTATGTATAAACAGACGAAGCTGTGGAAAATCGATCGCTTCTAGTAGTTGCTATTGCCTTCTCTACTTTGTGACTTAGATTTGAAGTAATCAATATTATTTTGTTAATGTTTATAGTACTCAGAATCACAGTTCTAAATTAAATTTAGCGATTGAGATATGAGGCATGAATGGCAGTTAATTTCATATATGTAGATGAGTGTGTGGTAGTTTGTATTGTCTACTCATTAAAATTATATGCGGAAGAATCTTGTCTTCAAACTGTCATGGGTAAAAATATTCTTAAGTTGAATTTGCGAAGCTAAAAATTAGGAGATTTCTGTATAGTGTGACATTGAGTGAATCTAATCGTTGAAAATAGTGAGCTTAGAGTGGCTAATGGGAATGGCAGTTAGATGCTTGTAGGATTCAATGTTCTTCAATTGTATTTTTGTGTGAACAATATAAAAGTGCTAATTGCAATAAAAAACATTTCAGTTAATTTGCAAGAATAATTTTAGTAAAGAATAAATTTAAATTAATAAATTAGTTCTGTTTTACTAAAAACTAAGAGATCTAAATAATGATCAGCTCCATGAAGCTTAATGCTCCGAGTTGCCTAGCCTGAATATTGTGAGATTTGAGTGTCTCCGAATGTAATTTTTGTTTTTGATCAATGTGGATATGGATATGGTATATTGGCTCTGAGTTGCCTGTATAATATGTTTGAACGAATGAAAATAAACAAATCAGCTCTGGGTTGCTAAAGACGTAGAGAGATCTAAATAATGATAAGCTAGTGTGGCTGAAGGCTCAGAGTTGCCTTAATATTGTGAGATTTGAGTGTCTCCGATTGTAGCTTTGGTTATGATCAACATGTTCAGTTGGTCAAAGACTTTGATTATCGACAGAAGTTCAAAATTTTTTCACTACACGGTGCAAGTGTGTATGTGGTTTTCCTGAATTTGCTATATCTTGTTTAAAGGATATGGTAAATTGGCTCTGAGTTGCCTGAATGTTGTTTTTGAACAAATGAAAATAAATAAATCAGCTCTGTGTTGCTGAAGACTTAGAGAGGTCTAAATAATGATTAGATCCGTGAGGCTTAAGGCTCCGAGTTGCCTGAATAGTGTGAGATTTGAGTGTCTTCGTTTGTTATTTTTAATACAAGGATATGGTATATTGGCTCTGAGTTGCCTGAATACACGGGAAAAAATGCGATCTCCGAAATAAGAAAAATGACTCATGATTTCATGAACACAGCGTATTTCCATGTTATGAAAATACACTATGAATAATATTCATGATATCATGAGCAACTTTTGCGTAACGCAGCATCCATTCCCAAAATCATGAATCATCATAGTTGAAATCATGAGCTAAATTCATGGGTTTAACTTTTAACCAAAAAATGTAAAAAGAATAAAATAAAGCACCAGACTGGATTAGAACCAAGAACCTTGAGATCATTAAACCCATACTTTGACCATACTAATTGAATAAGATGGAAGACAAAATGCGTATAAGAGATACCTATGTAGTGCGGTTTATGAACACGGTTAGCAAAGTACGTGTAACGCTTGTAGCGGTCTTGATTTAACTGCATTATGAAATCATGAATTTCCAAGACAAAATCATGAATCATTGTTACGATTTCATGGAATGGCAAGTTTTTTCATTTCATGATTTTTTATTCATGAAAATGGAATCTGATTTGTTTCCGTGTAATAGTTTTGAATTAATGATAATAAATAAATCAGCTCTGGGTTGTTGAAGACTTAGAGAGGTCTAAATAATGATAAGCTCCGTGTGGCTGAAGGCTCTGAGTTGCCCGAATATCGTGAGATTTGAGTGTCTCCGATTGTACTTTTGTTTATGATCAATGATATGATATACTGGCTTTGAGTTGCCTGAATGATGTTTTTGAACGAATGAAAATAAATAAATCAGCTCTGTGTTGCTGAAGACTTAGGCCTGCATAATGATTAGCTCCGTGTGGCTTAAGGCTTTAAGTTGCCTGAATATGATTATTTTTAAATAAATAAATATACATAAATCAGCTATGTGTGACTAAAGACTTAAAGAGGTCTGAATAATAAAATGATCATGTAATTATTTTGAGATTCGAGTCTCACCAATTGTAAATTTGCTTGTAACTAATATACAAGATGCTAAATAAAAAATAGTTATCTGCTCTGAGGTGCCTGTATGTTTTATATTTTAATGGAAATAATTAAATCAGTTATGTGTGGCTGTTTAGTTACATGCAACTTCATGCTCGGAGATTCCGGAATATTGTGAGCATTGAGTGGCTCAAATTGAGAATCTGTGAGGATCTTAAATAACAATTTACATCAAAAAATTGTATGTTGCCTTTGAGAGGCCTGAGTATTGTTTTTTTTTATAAAGATGATTAAGTTGCTTCGCTTTAAAAATAAAAATAAAGCAGGTTGAATATTGTAGTCTTTGAAATAAAATGTATAGCTACGTAACTTGATTATAAATTATTTATGCTGACTGCTGAATTGTACGATATTTTCATGACGTTCAAATTAAGTATGCATAAAACAATGGTTTGCAATTTTAGCTTCCATTTTTAGAAATACATTTTCAAAAAACGAAAAAAAAAAATTTGTTTTAAAGAATGCATTGTTAGCTGAAAGGAAACGGAGTGCTGTTATAGCAAAGAAATTAAAACGTTCCAGGTTGGACAACCTGTATTTGGAAAAGTCTATGCAAGCAAACAAGAACAATAATGATTTCTTGGTGGGGCACTCTACTATGCGAGAGGATGAATCAAAACTGAACGAGTCAGCTTTACAATCATCAATGAACAACTTGTCTTTTGCCACACTAAATGTACTGGATTGTAAGCCTATTACGGGAGAGGAATAAATAATTCTGTTCGTCGTTGTTAGTAGAACCAAAGGGCAAAAATGACATCCGGCTTGTAGTTGACTTAAGGGGT